TCATCTGAAACTGAGAACTGGCTGTGATATACATGAATCGGTCATGTTGAACAGATCGAAGGGAACGTGCGAGAAATTATGATTCACCAATTCTCCGAATTGACATGATTTATTTATTTTTTAGAAAGATCGATATTACAGAAGTATTTATGAATTATTCGATAGATGGAATTTGAAAGAGAGACTTACGAAAAAGTCGAAGGATGAATTCTTTGTAAAATGTAAAAAACGTAATTTTTATGTGAAGTGTGTTTATAATCAAAAAGGATCGGTGAATACGAGTGTAGTAAATAAGATGATTACAAACACATTTAACTTTCGTGAAATTATTCTAATATTATGTACGGAGAACGAATTGAGTGAAAATACTCAAGACTTGATTGATAATGTGGCCAGACCCATATTTGTGACTTATAAAAATAATTTAATTAAAAAGGTTCAGAGTTTTTTGTAAATAAAAGGATTTATAATTTTATATAAATAAACACTTAAATTTTGATCTCGTCAGATGTACTTAGAATTTTAAATGATAATTTAAAAACTTGAATAATATATTTGTAACTTTCAGTAATATTTTCACTCTCGTAAATTGAACAATGGATGATACTAAAATAGTGCAAGACTTGATTTGTGAGGAGATATCATCATTTGAGAATAATCAGCTTGTTGCTTTAACTGAATATATTATGAAAAGAGTATGGAATAATAAGGTTTTGAGATATTCCACACCATTTCGTACATATATCGAAAAAACTTTAAATGGATTATATATAACACGTATGGAACTCTGCATGGCATTGTTCTATCTTGTAAAGATAGAACGAAATGTTAAGAGATTAAACATTTCAATTTATTGTATACGTAGAATGTTTACCGTTGCTCTTATATTGAGTAAGAAATACTTAAATGATTGTGGATGTCGAAATTTCAATTGGGTGAATGTTACGGGATTGAAATTACAAGAAATTAACATGTTTGAAAAAAATTTTTTAAATTTGATTGAATATGATTTATTTATAGATGAATATTCATTCTGTTCTTTTTTATTTAATATTCGAGATATTACATTTCAACATCTCATTGATTATTGATATAATATATATTTCCGTAGATGTCAAAGAGCTCTGTGATATTTTGTTGATTAATATAGTTATCATGAATGTTATTTATTTTACACGATTTAGTAGGGTCTGATTGAATCGATTCATTATTAAAGTTGAGATTACTTTGAATTAATTCATTGGTATATTTTATCGTATTAGTCTCTGTGAAATCAGCGTGCATTGGTTTCTCTGTATTATGAATCAATCTATTGATGGATTCATCGATATAATTTTCATCATTAGTTACAAGTTGAATTGGGTTGTTGATATACTTTATCTCATCTTTAGATTGGATTGATTCATCTGTGTTATATATCATTTCGCTAATATTAGGTTGAATAGATTCATCATCTGTAATATAAATCGCTTCACTGATATTATGTTGAGTGGATTCATTGGTATTATTTTCTTCATCATTAGTTTCGATATATTGAGTTGATTTATCTTCGATGTGAATTGATTCATTAGAGTTGCATGTATCTTCAACGGTTTCGGAGGAATCATGTTGAGAGGTTAATTCATCATTAATGATTGATGATTCGTCCTTAAAGATATTGGCGATGGAGATGAGGATGCGTTCATATTTTTCATATTTTTCAAGTTTTTTTTTTAATTTTGTATGTGATTTTAGTAATCTATGATGAGTTGTTTTTAAGTTTCTGAGAGTGGTTAACTTGCTGTGATATTTGTCATAAGGAATAAATTTTTCATGTTTCTTTGCGAATGTGATTTTCTTAAACATGTT